GGAATTGATTAAAAATATGAATTTTATGAATATCAAAATAATGAGTATAAATATCAATCAACATTCAACATATGTATTATAATTATTGGACAAACTATAAAAAATAGAAATGCTACTATATTGTTGGATAAAATGTTTAATGAATGTGTTAAAAGATTTTGGATAATAATGAAATAGGTTTATAATATAAGAAAAAGAAAAATAATCTTTAATTTGACGAAAACTATTGATATAAAAGAACAATTAATTAGTTAGTTATTTGCTTTTGTAATCCCCGCAAACACTTAGACAATATATGTAAATATAACGCAGCAGGTAATAAATGTTTAGTTATAAATTTTCTTTTGTGATTATGTAAAGATACTTAATATATTGAAAGTCGTACCTGCAATATATCCAGTTGTAAGCTTCTCTCAAGATGCACCTTCTTGTGAAGTATCAGAGTGACTTCTAAATACGTATTTCAACGTTAAGTTTTCGTATGTGCTTTCTTTGCTCAATTCTTGAAGCTTCTCATCCCACTACGCTAATCTAGAAAAGTACGCAGAGAGAATGTAGTACAGAGGTAGACAACAAGGAGAAGGGGAAAGATAGAATATAAAAAAAAGAAAATTATGAATAAAAAATTAGAACTAGAAACCAAATTAAATAATGTATGTATAATAATGTAAAATGTAACTGAAATAACTGAAACTAAAATTAAAATAATGAACAATTCAAATATTAAATTTATGAAAATATTATGAAAATTAAGTAAATAGTTTATATCTAATTTAAATTAACTATAAAAATAATTACTTAAAGACTACAAATAAAAATATGATCTATTAATCATTGTATTAATTATATTTTTTATTTTTATTTTATTTTTACTTTTTATAATGAATTGCATTTTTCTATTTATAATCGTGTCTCTTAATGATAAAATTTTCTTTATCTATTAAAATTTACATGTTAATAAAAATATATTTATTACAAAATTCATTCCTCTTTTGGTAATTTCATATATTATAATAATATAAATTATTATGTTATTAAACATATTACTTAATATATTTTAATTTTGTAAAAATAATTTTACAGCGTAGCCTCAAATCACCAAAACGAACCTCTTTATTAATAAATATTGTGAAAATTACAATTTTATTCGATAGTTTTTGCATACCGTTTTATGTATGATAATATTCGAAAATACAAGTATTGTATGTAAACACATGCATTAAAAAAAGTAACTCGTTTTCATTTAAAATATGGCGTTACCACGCAATATTATGTCTATAAACAGCGAAATTGAATATGGATTAAAGAACTTACTTCAAAGAATTGGTATTTTTTATGTAAAAAAGTAAAAAGTAAGTAGTAATACTCAAAACATTATGAAACTATCAACAATGACTGTAAAAATTTGTCCAAATATCGTAGCGACAGTATTAGATGAAATGATTTTAAAATTGCCAATACCTTATTGAAAATCAAGTTATTTATTATTGTATTTAACAATATAAATTACATTACATAATATATATTGGTATATTATATCTGAATAGTATGTATCATCAGCAGATCCTTCGATTTGCTTTTTTCTACCTAGACGATATTATTGTCACAAAAATGTTCGCAAAATATCTACAGCGGTTGATATCTACTATTAAAGAAGGATTTATAAATAAAAAAGAAAGAATGACACAAAATTATATAATAAAAACATTTTTTCGATACATTAATACTTATATTTTTGGGATTTCTATCTAAATGACCTGAAGATCTGCAAATCTTATACTTTGCAGACCAGCTAACTAGATGAAATATACAATTATAAAGAAATAATTTAATGGCAAAATATTATATAGAGCTTTAAATATCTTAGATAACTTAACATTACTATTAATTATTCGCGAGCATACATTCTAATTTCTTATTGGTAGCTTTCTTAAATAAAAACATTTTGTTTTATAATAGTTACAAATAACTAGGTAGTGATTTGAATAATCATTTGGTATTTGGATTTGGTTCGATATAATTTTTTTTTATTCATCATTTATTCTAATTTAAATACTTTACAGTTCAAATGTTATTTTAATATCATTACTTCTAATAAAGGTATTCTCTTATGGTAAGGTATTTTCTTAGTTTGTTGATTTCTGTATTTATTTCTTAATCTCGTGAATATTATTATGTATATATCAGTTTTTATTTATACACCTTTTAAATTTGCAATTATAGCATCCAAAGTAAGTATTTCTTTTATGGTTTTCTTTTTTATAATTATAAAACATAACTAAATTTTTTCATTATCTTGAGCTACTTTGTGCTGCCTCTATGTAAATGTATTATAATCATTCATATTTCTTTAACATTTAACGTCATTTCTTGTACTGTCATCTTAATCTTAGACCGGTATTCCTTCAATCAACAATTAAGCAATTAAATACTATAACGGTTATCCTTTTTTACAAAATTTCATACACTATAAAATTTAATATATAACATCTTATCTCAAATTGCATATTATACAATACTTATAATATTTGAATTTCTTCTACATTTCATTTACCATTTAATAATAAATAAAATAGTTATATTTCTAACTTTGTATATTTTTTAGTTAAGCCGTATACATCAATACTAGTACTGTCAATACCCCCTTAACATACATTTTTCACATTATCGTTTTTTTCTCAATATAGTGATAGTAACAAATACTACAATATCAAATTATCATTATCATCCAGCTATTCAATTTTATCTTATTTTCTTCTGTATTATATTGAGTTTATAGGCTATTGAAATCTTCAACTTTATTAATAAGCCATATAGAAAAATTCTTATATGTTTTAGTTATACCTAGATTCCTTTAATTTTCTTTATAGAATTTCGCCTTTTTATTTGTTAGATATATTTTAACCATTAAATAAGTTGAAATTAGATAACAATATTAAGAATTATAAAACAACAGCATACATTTCAACAAATTGTAATTGCAGATCAACTCGGTTTGTAAGATGCATCTAATCTTAAGAATAAGAATTCCTTAATGCTGCTAGAGCTTAATAAAAATCATACATAATTTTATTATTAAACTTAAGTAAATCACATATACTATTATCAGTAAAACGTAAATAATACCTAAATCGATGTAGTTCGATTATTATCAGTTATTTCTAATTACTTTTAATGATATAAAGAAATAAGTGGTATCTATTAAATCAATTCAATACGTATAAAAGCATATTTACTTTTCAACGTAAAGAAATATTATAATTTATAAATGAAATATCTAAAAAAATTTTATTGTCATCTATTATAATTCTTCAACTTTATTTTAGATATTTTAGTTAATTCTACACAGGTTATTAGTTATAGATAAACTATTTTAATTTATATAATTTATTAGTTTGTTAATTCAAGCAAAGCTAATAAGCTTTGTACATAAAATTTTAAAAAAAATCAATTTCTTTCAACATTTATTGTGAATAAGAACTTGAGAGTATTGTTTGATATTAATCCATAGTAAATATTCATAAATCATCAAAATTAATTTTTACCAATCTAATAATTTAATGTGTTTCAATTATTTTTAAAATATCAATTTTCTAATTAGAATTTTTATTTCTAGTAATTTATTAAAATATAAATTAATTTTATTAAAAAAAATTTGTAATGAAAGAAAATTTTATAAATAAAACAGTACTATGAAGAAGAGAATTATAAAAATAGATTTTAGAGAATAGTTTATAGAAATATTTAATAAATAAATAAAAATAATTGAAGAATGCTTGCAATTGAAAATCACAACTATTTTGGTGTTAGTTGTTTAGTCATTTTTTAATGCTGATATCGAAATATAGTTTTTTTTTTAAGTTTTAAAATATTTTGAAAAAAAATTAAATCAATAGGTTGTAAAATAACTTTTGAAAATACACTATAAACGAAATTTAATTCAAATCATTTGTTTAGTTTTGTTATCTTACCTATAAAGTTCATGGTTCAAATCTGTTGTAGACAACCATTTTGTAAGATGATAATTAATAATTACTATTATTCAATCATATTTACATCGTTGATGCAAAAATTAAAAAATTATTGTTGAACAGACAGGAAATATTTTAAATAAAATAAATACAATAAATTTACAAATACTTTAAAATTTCAAATAAAGTTAATTGTAATTGTTAATGTAATATCTATTTTCTAGCAATTGTATGTACATTCAATAAAATCATTGCACTATGATTATTTTTAACTTACTACAATTATTGGTACTTGTAAGAAAAGTACGAAATTATTTTTTCATTTAACAAAAATTTAATTATCTATATTTAATTTACACTGTATTTATTTAAAATATTGTTTTTTTCATAATTTACTAATTTAATTATTAATTACAAAATACTTTAAAGAACAAACTGCATAAATTAATTGAAAGTTAATCAATATTTTAATTATTATATTTTTCGTAAAGTTTAATTTTTAAATTATAAATTATTAATAAAAATATTTATTGACCACAACTAATTTGCATCGTTTTTGTATTGTAGGGGTTTATTGTAAAGTAAATAAAATTTATCAGAGAATTGAATAAAAGTTTTATATTGGTTCTCTAACAAAATTAATGTGATTGATGAAGAACTATATAATAAAGTTAATTATTTTACTTTTGTAAATGGTACTGTATAAATGAGTTCAATATTATTTACTTTGTTTAATTAGAATTTTTTTTTTATAAGTTCTAATACATTTTGTAATATATATATATATATATATATATATATATAAACATATAATAAATATAATTTTAATCCAAATTTAAAATTAAGGTTATATTATAAACAGTTCCAAATAATTATTTACTTCATTTATTTCAGAAAATTTTTATAGTTTAAAATGAAACTTGCAAAAAATTATATATTTTACTCTTTTATCTTTTATAATTTACTGAAGTATGTCATATTAACATTATGATGAAACTATCTTATTAAAAATTCAAATATACACGTTTACATGTATTTTATCCAATTTTTGTTAGTTATTTTTCAACATTTAAAAAAAGCATTCAAATAAATGTAGAAGCAATTCCAAGAAGTTTAGTATAATCAGCGCCTTTTGAATATGTTTTTTGTCTTAGAACAGTTCTAAGTATATGTGGAATTGGTACATAAATACGTGTGCCTAATGGAGTTCCATTATCTTCAATCAAAACAATATTATTAGAATCATATTTGGGAATTTTTGCTTGTTGCTTTTGTTTCAAGCCTACAAGAATACCCTTTTTCTTTTCTCCTTTTATAGCAATCAATATTTTATCACCTAGGAATAAAAACTGGAAGTAATCATAATAATAATAATAATAGATCAACTATTTTATTTAAAAAATTGACTCATTTAGGAATTTATACAAGAACGTTTAAATTTATTACATAAATTGCAGTTAATTAATTTCATAAAACTATTAAAACCTACTCGTTTTTTTATAAATAAAATATCTTACCAATATATCCAATATTCAATTTATTATAAATATGAATACATTTGGGTGGTTTTCCCTCAAACATAGCTTGTTTTCCAATTTGGCTATTGTCTACTACCCTGAGTCGTGTCATTTTTATTATGTAATTAAAACTTCCAGATGTATGAATTTGTCTTGATAAAATAAATGAAATATAAATATTCATTATAAATCCTAAACTGAAAATATTGTATATTTTATACTAAATTTGACCAAAAGTATTTATGTATTTTCTCATAAATATGTACAGTAATATGATTTTAACAATTAAATTGAAAAATTAAAAACAGATGTCTATCATCTACAAAATGGCTTATATAGAAATGAAACCGGCGATCTGTGATCATATAATTTTGTCAATAGTTAAATTTATATTACGTATATATTATTTTCAATAAAAAATATAGAGCAAAATAAGAGCAAAGCGGTTATGATAAAAGTGATTAATTTCATTATGATAAGTAGTATACATAAAATATAAACCAATAAAATAATTTATAGTACTTTTACAATATTTATGATTAATTTTCAATATTTAAAATTTATCCAAATATTGTATATCAATAGATTATTATTTTTAATTATTTATAGCTATTTATTTTTACTCTTTCTTCAAATAATAACTTGTTGCATTAACCGTGCCTATTATAGAAGGTTTGTTTGTATATTTTACAATTTTTATTTTTGTGAATGATAAAAAATATAAATACATATTAAACTCTAAAGAATGCCTGCTATCTTCCTAAAAAGATAATTATCACAATTATACAAAAATAATAAATGAATTTTAAAAATTTTAAAAATGGATAAAACATTTTTTTTTAAATAGTTTCAATGTTTTTTTTAGTCACAATGTTTGTCTAAATTACGCAAGATCAATAATTAAAAGATTATTTAAGTAAAATAACATAAAACTCCTTTTATCTGGTAGATAATATGAAAAATTATCCTTTAATGTTTAATCAATGAAAAAATTAATTATTTTGCTAAACTCCTCAACAAATTAAATTTCGTAGGATATACACTGGGGGATAAATTGTCATATAATACACACACCGTGTAGAATTTATACAAAAAAGGAAAACATTGGTTATATATTACATAATAGGACGATAGTTACTTTATTCCGTACGTTGGAAACTTGAATTTAATCTTAATTCAATCATTTCATATTTTTCTAATTACATAAATATATAAATTAATCAGTGCACATTGAATTACAATTGTAATAAAAATAGGAAAGTGGATAATGTTTCGAAGTTTATTATATCCACATGTATATAATTAAATTATAAAACAAATTCCTGATTTTTTAAAAATATCGAGGCATGCTACAAAATGAATTAGTTATTTAGCCATATAAAAAATACATTACATTACAAATGGTATAAAAATCGATATCATCACGAACACATAGGCCATACGGTAAGATTATAAAAAAAAACATTAATCTAAAACTGTATCCAGATTACAATGAAAAAAAAAACTAAATGAGCATTGTAAATTAGGATTACTTGTAAGTTCTCTGAAATTAGAGTATTCATTGTATTTTATTGTCGGAAAATTGAATCAATAAAAACAGAGTAGTTACACGTGTGATAAACTTCACCACCAAAAATTAGGCAAAGAACGTGACAAAGAAGTTTGCGAATAAGAATGTCAAGAGGAGTCATATGCTAATTCTTAAGTTAAGAAAAGTATGTATTGTTATTACTTTCAGGAGAACATACGAAGGAACATATTTACGCACATTATGATATATTACAAATATGGGAAATGACTTTAGAATTATAAGAAATACATGTTTAACTTTTTTTTATTTACTAAGAGGAATCCAGAACATAATGATTCTACAACCTTACTTGTAAAAAAAGAATCACTCATTGTGTTAAATTTGTTGACAAATTTCAAAGTATGGAGGTTTATGATAAATGACTTAATACTGAAATAGTACAGAGGATGTGCCTTAAATTAAATATCCATAATTTATATTTTTTGCGTAAAATAAGTTAAATATGAAATCATTTATATTTAAAGTAAGTAAAACAATTTTATTAATTTATTAATATTAAAAAAAGGAATAATAAACAACATTTATACATAATAGCTATTGACTTTTACAAAAATAAAGGATCATTTAGGCTGTTTAATAATGATATAAACTAAATAATTATTAAAATACCTTATTATTATTATAATAATTATTAAATTACCTTTTTTCTGTTTAGTTTTTCAATTAATACATATTAAATTAAATTAAAATTAAATCAGTAATTGTTCAAAAAATAATTCCACAAATCTGACTCGTCAGCCAAACGTGCTGACTCAACTTAGAAGAGAAAACCACTAGATGTTGTGTGAGAAATGCTGGGCAAGTAAAGGGTTAATGCACTGATTAAATAGTTAACACATATCTTTATTATTACTGTTTATTCCATTTATTTCACATTATTTCCAAGTTGGAATCATTAACGATGGTGAAATTACAAATGACCTTTATATTTCCTAATACTCTTGTGGCGTTGAGATACATCCTTTTATTGGAGAACCAGAGAATAATCAATTTCTTATTCTCTGCATATAACTGGTGAGATTATGATTTATTGTAAAAAGAAATAGGTTATAATCTATTGAATATTATTACTTTTGAGGTTATAATCGTTGTAGTGCTCTGATTGAACACTACAATTTTATGGTGTTTCCACTCAACACGTGTGCAGTTGCCTCTAAGTAATGGGTCGTGTAAGAGCCTAAAATAGAGGTTATGCGGAGCTGTGCGCCACCTGTGGCGTCAACAACTGATCGTTGTTGCGATGTGCTCTTACAGTGTGGCGCGAATAGCTGTTCGTTGGAGGAAATGAAAAGCCACTGTGTGGGGTCTATAGCTGGTCTTGTTTTTAGAGTATGCTTGGGAAGCTTCAGTAGTCGGACTTTTAGCTGTCCGTTTTTTAAGTAAAGCCGAGAGATCAAGAATCAGTACTAGCGGTAAGGACTTACTTGTAGTGTATCGTGATTCTTCCACAGTACTAGCAGTAATGACTTACTTGCAGTGTATCATGAATTTTCCAGTATCTCTTCGTTGGCTTGATGTGAAGTTCCCTTTCAATAATTGCAGCTCTTAAGTTTTTTCTTGTCTCCAGCTGAGATTATAAGAATCTCAGAACCTATGCTATCTAAAGCTTGATGAGATCAACTTTAACTATATATTGATTCACATTCGTAGAAAGAACTTTTACTAGACTCAGCTGAACAACTTTGTCTCTGGTCCTCCTCCGTGAGAGTCAGTCGTGACTTATCCATTCAATCATCTGGTGAATAGGAATAGAATAAGAATAAGAATAAGTGGTGGTACATTATATTGCCCACCTTAAATAGTTCACTGACCCAGTTCCACTTGGGACCCCTTCTTCTTTTAATTATCCAATTAGAGGTTGAACTTGGGCAGCACAATGGATTATGCATGCCTTCATTTCCACTTCCTTCCGGGCTCAGTCCCGAATATGTTAATCGGGAAAGTGTCGGAAAGTGGGGAGGTTTTATTATTGGTCACCTCTCTTTGGTCGCCTCTCCCTTCTCTGGGACTTAGCTAGACAAGGGTCCTCCTGGGCGTCGTCGATCTTCCACCGTGTGCGTACGTACGCCTATTGCTTGTTGTCGCACGTGCGCGGTTTTGGGTTGCAGTGAATTTTAGGAAATGTAAGTACTCGGTATTTTTACGTATATCTGATACTCTATCAAAATCTACGTCTTCTTAACAGTAAACAACATATTAGTTTTTACTCCACAGGAAAAGCATGAGCACATTTTTAGATAAGCAAGAATAAATAAGCTAAATATTTACTGGAGTTTTCCAGATGTATTGACCATCTCGAATGTCCAGCGACTGGGAAGTCGTGGCAAGAAAACGTTCTCGCATTCTTGAACAGTATGATTTTAAAAAATATTAAGATCTTTAATTTTTGTATAATATATATACCATAAATCAGGTAAAAGATTTTTCATATGCAGAGTTGTTAGTAAGTATATATAAATATATACAATATTTTTTGGTTGCTATAGAATATTTCAAATTATTTATTGTATTTTTAATTCAAATATCTAAATATTTTTAATTTAAATTGAGAAAATATCAGTTTCAAAACATTTTGTAACGATATTTTAAGGTATTATAAATCTTCGAATAATGTATATTTTGAAATAATCTAAAAATATTTATATTTACTTCCGAAATTTATTTGTATTTATGGTATTTATGAAATATATGGTTTATCACGAAATTTTGTAAATTGATCAACCATTTATATTGTTTACTCATTGCAGTTTATTAATTTTTTAAAAACCTTTTTGGTTTCTAAATAATGAGTATTGAGTTTTTGAACACATTAATATGGTTAAAATAATAATCACAATTACAACAGATTAACAAATCACAATAGATAATCACAATTAATGATAACTCTTGAAAATTATATCATACATGCATACTCTGATCATTATAATTATTAAATTTTTTAAACTGAATGAATTCTATAATACATTTGTATTTCCTTTTTGTAGATAAACCATTTTGCAATGGATGCGTGCGTAGCATAATGAAAATACCTATAATACGCTTAAAATTTTAAGTTATAAAGTACAATGGAATACTTTTTGATTGTTGATACACGAGTATCTGAACATTTTTTATATGTTTATTTGCATTTTCTGAGATACGATTGAGAGCGTACGTGAGAAATTTTACCAAATAAAGTCCTGTGTACAGGACATAATACAAATATTATTATTATGGATTATACAAATTTAGTCCATTTCCCATATCATGACAAAAATATATGAGAGTCAAATATAAAAATAGGAAAAACAAATTACCTAATTGTATAAGAAAGGAAGTATTAGGAGATAAATAAATAAGTAAAATTTATATTTATATCATTATCAATGAATTAGATGAAATGGAATTACAATTTATAAATATAATTATTAATATAATATACTGATTTTTTAATTTAAATTTCATTTATTAAATAAATAATTATCATTTATTGCAAGTTTTGGTGTAAACTTTCTTTATTTTATTAATTTATTTAGGAAAGTAATAATCTTTTTTTTTTTAAATTGTTTTTATATTTTTAGTATTTGTATAACATTATTTTTTTATAAGTTTTTTTATAAATTAATTATTGTAAATAAAAATACTTTA